ATCTAGATTAAGAATCCTTAGGCATGTATTTTGTTTGTTTGGTTTATTTGTTGGTGATTTTTTTAGTAGTATTCTGTGTTCTTCTTGTTTCTATAGGTTTGCTATTGGCAACCAGGCTACTGGCTGGTGCAGTGAAGGCTGCCAGGGCATTGTGGACACTGGAACATTTTTGCTAACCATCCCACAACAGTATTTAAGAAATTTCCTTCAGGCTGTGAAAGCTCCTTATGAAGATTCAGTAAGTGGAGGAAAGAACCGTGGACTCATTTTGTGATTGTTCAGGGGACTGATACTAGTACAGATAGAGAATCTGTCAGTTTTGATTTCACACAGTTTCTCATTTTCTTGTCCTTTTGTTTGTTTTGGCCCATTTCCAGAATAGGATGTGAAGTTGTTTTGGTTTTTAATCCACATGAGAATTCATATGGTTTTTGTGGTATTTTCTCCAACATAACAGAATTTTCTATGGACTTCAATACATTTAAAACAGGGGTTTTTTTGCATGCTATTCCTTACAATATACCTTTTTGTGCAGACATTTGCACATTGCTGAGCTATACAACAATGCAAGAAGTATGCAAGTTTGAAAATTTTAAAAAAGAGTAGTTTTGCTGGTGGTTTGTAAGTAAGATCAGAAGTACGAAATTTAAGTCTACACAAATGCAAAAGAAATTATTTTTTCTGTCACCCGTAGTGGCCATAAATCATCTGAATATCATTTCATTGACCCAAAGAAATTTTGCACAGTGTAAAGGCAAACTTGACTGATTGAAGGAAAGAGATAAGGGTTTATTTGGTTTTTCTACCTGTGAAGATGAAGGGATTGCGAAAGATATTCAGTAGTACAGTCATACCGAATATGGTTTGTTAATCTATTTTCAGGTGATGCTATAACCTGACCAACCTTTCTCGTACTCTCAATTTAACCTTCCCTTATATTTGTTTTTTCACAGTATGTGGTGGACTGCAACAATATCCAGAATATGCCTACCATTATCTTTTACATTAATGGATCTCAGTTCCCACTACCTCCTTCTGCTTATGTCTCCAATGTAAGTATGCTCTACCACTTCTCGAAAT